TTCGTCTTCTTCTAAAACCAGGATTTTCGGAACTTCTTTTTAAAACCTTGTCTAACTGATTCTCTGTGTTTAAACTTCTATTTCTTACATATTTTGACTTATTCTATGAGTTTGCTACATCTTAACTCGTCTATGCTGAAAGCCCTAATTTTTTAGGGTTCTTCGTTTGGTTCTGTGTATTAGCACGACTGACCGGTTCTCGTTTTGAGTTTCTGTGATTTCTCGTGATTATCTTGCCTTGATATGTTTCTACTGAGTTTCTTAGCCTAAACTTACACTGATCCTATGTGCTTGTGTTCATCTTGACTGTTCAAGACTCGCCTCTTTCTCATTGAATCAGTATTGTTTAACTTTCATGTTTGCTAGAGTTGTATGTCGACTCTTGACTATCCATGTCTTACTTTATTTATATGCTAAACGCTAACTCTTTTCATGACTTTCTCTTTGATTTATTCTGAATTCCCTATTTCTTGGTTTGATTTGAAAACTTTCCTTTAAACCTTCGATTCTTACCTTCCTACTCAATATGATTGATTTGCTTGCCTAAATTAACTTTCCTTTACCTTGTCTGCATTGTTACTTGATTCTTACTGATTATCTCCTTAATTAGAATTTTCTGAACCTAGCCCTAATTGTTTACTCTGTGCCTACTATGTTTGAATTATTTCCTTGTCTGTTATGCTCCAGTTACACATTGATTTCTTTCCTTATTTGCCACCTGTTCTTACCGTTGAACTGATTCCCTTAATTAAGGAAGTACTTATACTGATTTTGCTCTAATTGGTTCTGAGTTCCATAATTACTATACAATTGTGATTCTTACCTTATTTTACCTAGTTTCGAACTATTATATATATGGTCTCTCATTAATAGTCAACACACACGAACATATTAATTCAAACTCTCTCACACTCTAAACTTTTCTGCTCTCTCTCTTTGGTTACTTGCTATTATTCTGAGTTAGCCGGCTGCAAGCCAAGGCTAATTATTGTGCTCTCATGTTCTTCACTTTGTGTTTACTATCTCTTCACTGGTATGTTCTGATTTCAATTCAAGTCCCAAAGCCAATATGTTTCTTCTACTGCTTCAGTTTATCATGTTTCTAATTTGTTTCTATCTATGGTTCTGTTGTTCAAAATGTAATTGACATGTTTACATTACTGCTTCATAGCATGCTAGTCTAACCCTCTTAGGGCATTTCAGAACATGTTCTACTCCCCTGGTAGTCTGTCTCAACCCTGTTTTGAATGCTTGTCTACTTGTTATCTAGTTTTGATATGCAAACTGATCTGTCACTTTAAATGTCTGATTCTATAATTGGTTCTAAAATTCATACTGTGTTGGTACCACTAGCTATCCCCTAATCCTATAAACCCCCACAAGAACTGCTATGCTCATGTATACTATGTGCTCTATGTGTCCCCAATTCCCATCACCTTTGTGTGAAGGACTGTTGTTTGAGTGTTGCTGAATCTGTCTTGACTATATGTTTGATATGTTGTTTATTTGATTACACAACTCTTGTTAAAACTGTTTTACTGAAGAACTCCCCTATTTATAAAACTAATGAGTCTTTTCAAATACTGCTTTCCTATTAAAACCTTTTCAAAACCATGTCAAACACTCTCACTCCACTCTTAGGTCCTTAAGTTCTGCCCCTCCAGTGTGTGACTGCCTTGGGATCCCTATGAGATCCCTCTGAACTCTGATGCATTGGAGTTGGCTCTTCCACACTGCACTTACTCAGTTCTAGTTATAAAGTCTAGGTGTGAGCACTGCCCCGGATCCTTGAGATCCTTAGGGAACTCTGACGCACCTAGATAATGATATTGTCTATGAAATTTGGCATTTGAGGCTATTGGAGGCTTGGGAAAATCATTTGGGCCTGCTTCAGGCTCCCTATAGTGTAACATCTTCTTTTATTTTTTTTCCAATTATGTAATTTATCCAGCTGGTCTGTAATAACTATTTGTAAATGAATATTGGGGTGATTAGTGAAAAGGGATGTGTGGTTATACATCTATGGGGTAGTATGGGTAGAAACCATGCCTATAGAATTTTGTTAATATACTTGCTATATCTGCTTTACCATACTAGAAATCATGTCTATAGGATTTTGTTAATATACTTGCTATGTTTGTTTTACCATACTAGTGACCATGTCTATAGGGTTTAAATGGTTCCAATAATAGAAATCATGCCTATAGGATCTAAATGGCTTTATAATTAGATATCATGCCTTAGAATGTGATCAGGTTCAGTTTCTGTTACAACGTGCATTTACATTTGTTTCCACTAGAAATCATGCCTATAAGTTTCTAACATCAGCTCTTAACAACTAGATATCATGCTTATAGGGAATAAAATCAGGAATTATACCTATAGAATTAAAATCAATTTAGTTACACAAGTCAGTCTAATTCGTGTTATTTCATTTGAAATTAGCTTAATCAATTGTCCGCTTCTTTAATCGATCTTTTAAACATTGCCTTCATTCACTACTGCTAGAAAGCATGCCTATAGGACCTCAAGAGTCTGTTTTGAAAATTGCTCACTGTTTTACTATATCAACGTAGTTATGATGTTTTTAGGACATCACTGTTCTGCGTTTAGGCAAGCCTATAGGACGATTTAAATTCTACAACTCTGAAAGTGTATTTTTTTGCTACTTAAAGCTGTTTAGATTTAACATGTTTAAAATCAGTAGTGTAAGCACGTGATTTTTGCCCAATATGAGAATTACTCCCAAAAATTCAAAAATAAAATGATTTTTCTTTGGTGTGCAATTTTGTGATATTTTGAATAATTATTTGTATTTGTCTGTGCGTGTTTATCTGTTAAATTAATAAAAAAATAAAAAAATATGTCGCATTTGCATGTAGGATTTAATTCTATAATTGTTACTAATTAAATTTGNGGCAAACTGATTAGGACCTTACTGTCAAGTTTATAAAAAATAAAGTTGCATATTTCTGTGCATCGACATCCACTTAGATATCCTGTTTAAGTGTTTTCTCTAATAAAACTGATCTTGTTCGTGTTTGAGACGTGCTGCTTATGTGCATTACTTGTGGAGGTAAACCTGAGCCTCTTAAGTGCTTCTTTCTACATTTATCTGTTAAGTCCTATGTGTTCTTGCTTGTTGCCTAGAATTTTCTCCTTTTAAACACTTTAGGGATCGTCTAGAACTGCCCAGATTTAGAGGTCCTAAAATACCTCCAGGGCCACAGGGAAGGGATAGGTAGTGCACGCATAGGACATTATCAAGGTTACTAGAACGCTTTAGGCTATGACCAGGGGGGAACTTGGGTAGAAAGGGATATGATGACTACGCGCTAACGTCACGTGTAGCCCCTCATTAAGGAGTATTTACCGGGCATTGAGTGGAGTGATCCTGTAGGCTAACCAACCTAGGACCCCTCCTTTCCCAAACTCCTTTTGCTTAAAACTTTCTTTTTATGTATACAACTTGTTCAAATCCCTTGTTTTATTATCTGAGTCATACAATGTCCAACATGCTTTATTTGCAATTATTTGTTTCAACTACTTATTTGTTAAAGGACTAATTCATAAATATGAGTTCGGCCGGGACCCACCGTTGTGGACCGAGAAGGGTGCCTAACACCTTCCCCTCAAGATTATTTCGAGCTCTTACCCTAAATCTCTGGTAATGCAAACCAATCCAAGAGTTAACCGCTCTGGGTGCCCTAACGTACCATAATTCGTTAGGTGGCGACTCTTCAAATACCCAATTCCCAAAAGGAAATGAGTTATCACCCCATGTAATGTCGAAACCCGGACATGCGGAGGGAAAAAAGGGGGCGCGACACTTGGATGCCCTATCCACTTCTGATACTTGAACATGCTTGAGAGTATCGAGTCTACCGTTCGAAAGAAGTCCAAACATAGCAATCATTCTCATTGTACACCAGAAAGAGCTATAAATAGTAAAAAAAGACTGGATAACTATAACACCATGAGCTTTGCAGCAACAATTGTGGGACGGCTAGCAAGAAGAGGAGGATCAGACATCATTTTGTCTGAAGTTTGTAACGCTACACGAATGCTTGAGGGTGATCACTCTTGTGAATTTTGAACAGGAGAAATTAGAAGATGAACGGAACCAATTAAAAGATCAAGTGTAAAGTTTTTTGACTTCAAAGTTACATTTCACAGATGAAATATGAATATCTTTGAGGTTTAAAGTTAAATTTTTATATCATAAAAACAAATTGAAATATGACTTTTTGGATAACTTTAATCTATAACAACCAAAGCTTCATTATCTAATATTAACCAATTTATGAAAAATATTTGTTGCAAGAACACTTAATAAAGAAAAGAAGAAAACAAAGAAGAGAACTACTTTCTATCTGCATTTCAAAAACTGATTTTGGATCAAAGATTAAACTTTTTTTATTGCTTCTTTCACCAGCATGGTCCGCCTCTTCTTTTTTTTAGGGGAGCGGGCATAAGTTGATTCGTCCGAGGAACCAGAAGCACAACGCTAAACCGAGGCGGACAGGCGGAGGCAGAAATAGAAACGGCTCCAAAGAATAAAACCAAAGCAAAAAAGAAAAGAAGGTTGTAGCTAGTTAAGTGCGTTCCAGAGCAAGTTTAAAAAGAACAAAGAAAAAAAAAAATAGGCTTCATTAAATATGGCTTGCTTATGACCAAGGGATGTGGTGGGATGAATGGATCCATCCATCTTTAAGCAGAGTCCCAAGTTCGAGCCCTGAAAATGGAGAAATTCTTGGTAGAAAGCACTTCCCCTTGAACAGGTGTTACAGGACACAAATATGAATTAGTTGGGCTAGTGGGTACCGGCTATCAGATCCTTATACCAAAAAATATGGCATGCTGTTGTCTGTGTGTGTGAGAGGGAGAGTGAGCGAGGGTCATGCTCAGCACGAGCTGTGGGAATAGGTAGAGTACCGAATACAAGGGGGAAAACCTATATTTATATCCCCTTTGACGCCAAAAAACAGTAGAAAAAAAAAGAAAAGAAATAAGAGCTCTTCAAGAAAAGGAACTGCTTACATACAATAATAGACCAGTCACGACGCAAAGTTGCAGAACAGACTGATTAGAACAGGTTGTACAAAATCAAACGTTTTCAGGTTTCGCATCATTCTGCATATTCAATTTCTTGCTCTCATCAACAGGATTGTTTTGATGTAAATGCGGAGCAGCCGATAAAGCCTTCTGGCCCTGATCAGCAGATACAGCTTTTGGACAAGTAGTGCTTACAGATTCAGACAAAGATATGGATGGCATGTTGAAACCACTCTCTCCTTCAGGCAGAGATGTCAATAATGCATTCATTGTGCCCCCCATTTGGGATAAAGAGGCACCACTTGCCTTCTCAGTTTCTGGCAAACTGGGAGGTTTAACCTTTTGTGATCCATCGGTTTTAGAAGATGGTGCATTGCCCGAATTTGATAATGGGGAAACATCTGGTTCAGAGCTTTTACTTGTTCCATCTTTTCCTCCACCTACAACATAGAGTTACAGATCAGCTTGGAGAGGAAACAAAGATGTATGCGCTACTTGACATTGATAAGGATAAATGAAACTAGTTGATCACCTATATGGGAAGCTGTGGCAGGAGATGCATTTGCACTTGAAGGCAACGAGCTTCCGGTTCCTTTTTTTATCCTTGACTGCATGGAATTCAGCACTTAAAATTCATCAGTTGTTGTGAAATGACCATCTATCTTATTTTTCCTTTTCATTTCCTTCTTGGCCTTTTTTTACATGCTCTTAATAGCCAAACAAAAAACAAAAATCTTGATCTAGCACGTGGGAGTTGTAGAAACAGAGTATCGTAAGCTAAACGCAAAATAGAATTATGTTACAGGGCTTTGGATATGTTCCCTATAGGAAAGTGTGCAAGTATCAGGTACCTGAACCTGTAAAGTTTTACTGATTCCAAATATAGTTCAGAGAAAGGCCGCTGGGTAGCCCTACCCTGTCAGCCTTAGACAGCCAGGTCAAAGAAAATAAAGGATCCATTTAACAAAGAATAGAGATTAAAAAGGAGAAAATATTGAAGTGAAGGAGCCACATCTTTCTACAGTTTATGTAATTTGGGAGGTAAGGGGAAAAGGGAAATCAAGAGGTAAGAAAAAAACCAATTTGGCTATAAGGTTAGGTAAGCGAAAAGTATTCCCTGCTGTTCGAGTTTAGACCACAATGCATAGGAGGATGTTACAGCAGAGCACCTCAAGTGTGCAGCTCTAGTTACTACACTCCTAAATCAGCAGTGATATCGTATGTCAAGGTCTTAGATTTATTGGTGATTGATGACTCACCTGAGCGCTCTAGAAATTAAACTAGACTAATTCGACAAGGATGGATGTAATACCTTGGAATTTTCTTCACAATACTTAATAGCAGCTGAGACATTTGTGCAATGGCCATGCAGAAGTGTGTAGGCCCACAAAAGTAGCTTCCGTGAAGTGTTCATATCGAGTATGTCAACTGCATCTATCCCAGGTTGGATATATGTTTCTGTAGCAAATTGAGATGGCACCATATAAAGGTTTATACCTGATGGGAGCAATGCACAAAAAGTGTCCTTATAAAAATTATAGCAAGACCTAAGCAACATAGAAGCAGTTTCCATGTCTTCATCTGCAGCTCTCTTTACTATTACATTTTTTATCTTAGACAATGAAGGGTTCCACTTCCTCTCAAGATCCTTCAAATGATTCATGTCCTCAAAAGATGAACTCCATAGTTCATCCAGTTGGAGATCAACACAAAGCAGTTGTGAATTCTCTAATCCATTAGCTGGCGAATTTGGAACTTGCACTTCACTAGAGAGTCTTGAATGCAAAGGTGTTATTAAGGCCATGCTAATTACAAGTGACCGACACCAAGCAGCAGAAACATGCTTATGAACTTTTGCGCAGTTACTATTCGACAGCTTTGGGTTCTTCAAACGCTTGCGTATCTTCTCATTTATTCCTTCAAGCGCTTCAACTTTGATATTTTGCTCTAAAGACTGGATATATCGATAAAGATATCTGCAAGGAATGTTAAAATGGTATCTGTATAAGCAAACTGCTTTGAGTTTAACCAAACAGTGGACTTCATAGCTTCAAGGAATTTGAAACTGTATTCCACAAATGCTCATGGTATCATTTCTATTGTTCAAAGCCTGGTTAGGACTCATATGAATAAACAACAGAGACACTTCTGGGACACACTGGAAAATTCATACATTCCCAAAAGTGAAATATATAAAGTACTTGATGCAAGGACAATATCTTGATAGTACATGCAATTTTAATGAGAATATTGAGCAACTAACACATGTATAAGTGCTCACTCTATCCAGATTGTTATCAAATTACATCTATTTCTTGTAGTTCCTATTTGTGCACCAATACTTTTNNNNTTTTTTTTTTTTTTGAAGAAGAGCAAGTTGTGCACCACCACATTTTATAGGAACAAAGTTATACAATATTTTGATAATCCAAAAATCATTCATTAAATATCACACCAAGATGGTGTCAGTACAAGAGGTAAACAATAAATATCCAAACAAATCCTTCTAACTAATGTCTCTTTTACATCAAAAACACAAATAAAACAAAATATCTTGTTTGATACTAGAACAAAATTATACCTGAACATAGTTCTTAGATAAGAGAGCAATTATTTCCTTATACCTTTGTTATTTTGCTCAGCTTACAATTGGTGTAGATCAATATTGAGACTACAAAAGAGATGGGGAAAATCCTTCTTTCTTTTTTTACCATAGAGATGGAAAACAAATATTTTCGATTGCAAATGTAAGCAAGCTGGAAACCACAGAATAACTTCAAGTTAGTACAGCACACATAAAGTTGGGGTCACTTCAAAAGAACCTACCCAAATAAACAGCTCTCCGTCAACTCTGAGCTCTTTATTTCTGGTAAGCCACAAATATCAGACCACATGGTTACCTGTTCCATGAACAGAGAGAACATTTTCTCCAGATGATGCTCACTAGAGTTGCTAGCAGCACAAGACATATGGTCAGTTTGATGAATAGATGAAATTAATGCCTTTAAGTATCGTCCCAGAGCAACTGGAATAAGATCTTCAAGGCATAAGGAGAACTGGATGAAAAATATATATATGTTAGGCAAGGGAGTTTTCATTAAATAAGAAATAGAGGTATAACTAAATTTACAAGAGTGGGTTGAGTTAATTAAATCAAAAAGAACGGCCAGAGCTTTAGGTTCCATGTTAGTATCCAACAGAACAGCCAACGACGAGAGAATTGAAAGAAAGGAGGGTCTAAATTGGTTATCATAAATAGAAAGTTTAATCAGATGATCTATAACATAAAATAAATGTTCTTCCAGGCGCTTTTTATTTTTTTTCCTGCATTATTTTTCCATGGTATTATACAAGTAAAACAACTCTCTTTGTATTTTCTACTAACTGTTATTCCAACTTATAAAGCTCTAAGATATGGCATGAGGAATGCTTTCCTATAAATAATAAAACCGAGCATTTGTGTCAGAAAATTTAGCTATTAGAAATGCTTTCTTATGGATAAATAAAATAAAGCAACCTCAAAGGGGCTTTGCTAATATGCAACCTCAGAAAGGGGCGACGCGATAAGGTTTATAAAGAAGAATATGTTTTTTTTTCATTAGGCTAATCATTAACGCTGCTAATCATTGTGAACAAAGTATACATCCAATTCATATGGCAGTACCCTCTTATCTGTCCTAAGACAGAAATAAGCCCGATCAAGGGTACATATGTCTTCTGTCTCCTCCAGCAGTTTTAAATAGAATAATATGTACTTGCGGATGCAAGTAATGAACTTCCGAGAACTTTCTGCCAAGTTAACTTCTAGGGCTCTCCTGTTCCCTGAGCAACCTTGGGTTCTGCGCCTGCAATATGAATATTAAAAACATTGATCTGCATGGCTTAACTCATCGAAATTATTAACATTCTGAATCAGATAACGAGGCAAGAAATGTGGCTCCAATACTGACGAAGTAATGGACCTCAAAAGAGATTCATCTAGGAACATGATTATAATTGACTTTGCCCGTCATTGTTACCAAGTTCACCAGGTTCAATAAATAAAATGTTTCCATTACTATATCATTTGATGATTACAACAACCTAAAACCTCACATTTCCTAACAAACATAGGCATTCATCAATTTGAACTTCAGTTCCAGTCGGTCTTCTAATTAACGTTCACATTTCCCTAAATTGTGATAGTGACATATCTTTCTCTCCTACTTGTGAGTGATATAACCTATTCTTGAGAGTCGCAACAAACTAACTTCTGCAATTGCTTACTCACCACGCCCAACAATTTGCAAAAATTGTGACATACATTTAAAGGGTCAAATCAATAGACTCAGTCCCGGCTACGCCATACGTAACTCAATCCTAATGTACGACAATACAAAGTGTGACCAATGAACTTTGTATGTCAGTCAAAAAACTGTAGGAGATCTTACAAAACAGCTGCCGTTTCAAGATCTTACTAGAAGGCAGTGGCATGGGCATCTTTGTCCCTTGATGGATGCTTACAAAAGATTACGTAGTGAAACAATATTTTAGTGGCTTGGGATGCGCTTCAGATGAGATAAATATTTCTTGAACACATCTTTGGTGGAAGCATTCGCAGAGTAGGGAGGTTGAGCATGCAAAGTATATGTTGTCTAAAGTGTCAAACCAAGAAGATCCCCTACAGCTTATCCACTTCCCATTTACAAACAGTCACGGGAAGAGATCGTCTCCACTCTAGATCTGTGCATGTATTTTATGGTCTACATTGATGATATAATTATCAGAGGTGATGAAGAGGGAATTACCAAGTTGAAGCATCATTTTTTTCCCAGCACTTTCAGACCAAGGACCCTGGTTAGTAGATACTTCCTATGTATGAGGTTGCTCAATCCAGATCAGGCATTTCTTGAAATTCTTAATAAGACAAGAACGATAGACTTTAGGCTCATTGATACTCTGTGGATTCAAATGTTAAGCTTCTACTACGTTACGGGGAGCCTCTTAGTGATCCTGGAAGATATAGGAGGTTGATCGGCAAGTAAATTACCTCACTGTGACTCGGCTTGACATTGGTTTCCCAGTGAGTGTCATAAGTCAATTCCTGGATTCTCTTTGTGATAGTAACTGGAATGAATTTGTTTGTATCCTTTGATACATAAAATATGTTCCAGAGAAAAGACTACTCTACGAAGGTAGAGGACATGAGCATATTGCTGGATATACTAGAGGACAGATTGGGCAGACATATGATCTCCCTCCCGATACTGCATTCTGGTTGGGAGAAATCTTTTTGTCTTGGAAAAGTAAGAACAAAACGTAATTGCAAGATCGAGCGAAGAAGCAGAATTATCGGGCTACGACAGTGGCTATATGTGAACTCATACGGATCAAGTAACTGCTAACAGAACTACAATTAGGAGAGATTGACCAAATTGAACTTGTGTGTGATAATCAGGCTACACTTTATATTGCATCAAATCCAGTGTTTTATGATAGGACCAAGCACATAGAAATTGATTGTCATTTCGTCATAGAAAAGATAATCTCAGGAGACATTGTCATAAAGTTCATGAAGTTAAATGATCAACTTGCAGATATAAACACGAGGTCTCTTACCTTTCTCAAAAGAAGGTATATATTATGTAGCAGGCTTGATACATACCATTTGTATGTGCCAACTTGAGGGGAGTATTAGGGTCTTGTGAAATAGTAACATATCAATCCAAAATCAAGTAGATTGCTTTATTTCCTGTAGTTATGTAATTTTGATATTCATTCCTTTCTTGGAACATGTAGACTTCACTATCTAAACCCCCAATAGCTTGAGGGAATAATCAAGCAATGTTGTTTTCTCAATCTTCTCTTGCTTGTTTCATTTCTCTCAATGTATATTTTGGAATGATTTGCGAGAAAGGAACAGTAGAAAAAAACTTGCATGCACATTCAAGGCTCTTTTTACTTCCATTTATTTTATTTTTTTGGGGAAAGAAACTATCTTATTATATAGGGATAATACATAATTATCCCATTGAGGTTGTCTCACTTTACCAGTTGCACCCTCATACATTATAGGGTCCTTATGAACCCCTTTGAACTTTGAACTGGTACTATTACCCCCTTCTGAGCCCACATGGCATGGAGAGTATATGTCACTTACTTAAAGAGAGTAGGGGGAATGAAAAAAGAAAATTAAAAATTTAAATTTTTGCAAGATTTTTTATTAAAAGTATATATTTTACTTTTCTTTCTTTTTTGTTTTTCTTCTCCACATTGTTTTCCTTTTTTTTCTTCTTTTCTTTCTTCTCTTCTTCCTTCTTTTAAATTACAGGTACCTCCTCCGCCAATTCACTGCCTCCATTTCCACCAAACCACCAGATTTCTTTTTTTCTTTTTTAAAAGTTACACCCCTCATATTCATCCATTAAATCACATCCACCAATACTTTGATTGTCATCATCTCCACAATATCAGTTTCAAGAAAAAGCTTAGGAAGCTTCAACCAGATAAAACACAATCTAATAGAAATCCCACAATTCTGTTTTCCAAAATAACCATCCGTTCTCAGATAAAATCTATATAGTGTGAAGAGAAGGCTGAAGGGGTTATAAAATTGTGGTTTCGATGAAAACGAGATTCCATGGCTTTCTCGGATGAAGCAGCGGTGGAGGCATCCAGTGGCTTTCTCTGATGGAGATTGTGGATGTAGGTTTTAGATGAATAAAAAGAGGGTAAAGAAAGAGAGGAAAAGAAAAAGGATAAGAAATAATCTGAAAAAGGCCCTAAAACTGAAAGGAAAAGAAAAAGAAAAGGAAAGAGCCAACTTCATCAAAAGAAACCCATCACAAAGCCATAGAATGAAAACAGGAGAAAGGGATATGAGATTGATGTTCCTCGAGACCACTCTCATCACTGCAAATTCAAAAATGGGAACTTGAACAAAGGAACATGATGAAGAAGGAAAATGATGAAAACAATCAAAAAAGAAAACCAAAATAATAAAAGAAAAAGAAAAATGACATGGAATTGACGCGGCAACGCATGGGATGCATTGCCTTCGCTTACATCTAGTTATCAGTATTCAGGGTGGTAATAACTTCACTTCAAATTAATTTAGGGGGGTCATAGGACCCACGCAAAGTAGAAGGGTGCATCTGACAAAGTGGGACAAGTCCAAGGGGGTAATTATGTATTATCCCTATTATATATAGACACTTGGATGGATCTTTTGGAATCTCAGGGTTGATCTTTCCAATAACTTATGTAGATGGGATGGCAATCCTTTTATACCCTATACTAAAGCTGACAACGCCTTGGTGTGATACTCAACACCAATATTTTGATTCAATTAAATAAAAGGGCCTTCCCTAAATAAAGAGAGAACAATCTAGGAGGAATCAGAAAGTGTCGTCAAAGTGACTTCTCGATGTGCTAAATGATAGGACAGAGAAGAAAATAGAAATGCATACCTTCCCTTTTTAACCATACTGTCAATCTCCCACATGTTTATTGTGAATGAAGAACGAGCCGACTTAAAGCAGAAAGAAAGTTCCTCCTTTGCCTTCTCTAGATCCATCTTCCCACCTCTTCGATATAGGCCTTGAGCAAGCATATATCTAGCCTTATGAAAATGTTTCAGGTCACCTTCCACACATATTTCAAGGGCAGAAAGACAATCATTGTAAAGCATCTGCCACACCCCTTCAAAATGTGAATCCCCTTTTACATCATTTACAGAGTAAGCATTGGGAGTTCTATCCTCGGAGCACGTTGATTCTGAAATTGATGGGCAAACCTTACTGAGGATATCCATCACAGTATCCTGAGTCGATTCATTGAAACAGTGCGCAGCAACAACCTAAAATGCATCCGGGCACTAATTAAGTCAACAATTGTACTCCTACCACATGGAAAATGACCACTTGAAAAAGGTAACTATTTCCAAGTCTGGCCAGAGAAGGGGCATGCAGATTGTCAGGGTATGTTTTGGGAACTCTTCTGCGATGAGCTATGAAGAAAAAAAGAAAACGACGCACATGCTGCTGAAATTCATGAACCTATATAGGTTGCTGACTAGAGAAGAGCGTTATATAATACACAAACCTGAACTCTAAGCAGGCTATGTTTAGAATAATCTAGTGAAACATATTTCTGTTGCGCTTGTATATATATTTTGAAATGTGGCTTTGCTGTGTATGTCTCTCGAAATTTTACATACAACTGGAGATAGATTAGATCTATGAACAACGAAAAGAGCTAAAATTAAATTAGCTATCTTCACGACTGTCAATACACACCTGTTCGTGTCATAGTTTGCTTACATGTATAACTGTCACAATAAAAGAGGAAACAGAAAGGAGCTAAAGCAAGTTTCAGAAAAGCACCAACCTTCAAGGCCTCCTCATCTTGTTTCCTACATGTGCAAAGTAACTTCAACCGTGAAGCATGCATCCTATAGAAAGAATCTGCAGCAGATGGATTCAAAGCAATAGCTTTAGCATAGAATGAAAATGACATCTCATGTGAGTATCCAAGCTTCTCGGAAAGTTTTCCCAGATAGAATGCATGCGACCAATCCTCCCTGAAATTGCAGGCTAGGTTACATTAGATGAAGAAATAATCAAGGGATACAGAGTCGCCAAACAGACTTACTTGTGTGCAAAGGCCTTCTGAAAGTGTCTCATTGAGTTTTGACAGAACATCATCCATGCTGAATCTTTGGACGGCAAAACAGATCTTTGATCATAGATTGGTGCTACATTCTGAAGACCATCATAATATACTAATGCCAATAACTCATGTATCTCAGCCTGAAAGAAGCAGGAACAATCATATGTAGACTGTGAGAACGAAATGCACTAACACACTCTTAGCTCCAACATTAACTTTTTTTATAACGTAAGGTAATTATTATTATATAAAAACTGGCAGAAGTTAATCAACATAGTCAAATGCCAAGCAAACTGAAAATTGTTAACACCTAAGTAAACATTCAAATCATTCTATATGTTTTCAGGAGTCAGGACCATCAACCAAACAAGAAAGAAAAAGAAACCTTGATACATGAAACTCGTGTAACATCGGAAGCTTCAAACTCCAATAACGGGTCTGTCCTTGATTACTCCTAGGATGGCAATAAGATCTAACAAAAGCAAAACCTTCACCCACAAGTTGTCAGAGTGAAGCAAACCTGTTGATCTGCTGTTTTGGCTAAAGCTAAAGTCATCAACAAACATCGTCTGCTCCTTCTGCGACTTGCCTCAACTCTCTCAGATAAAACAGCATTTTTCCTCCATCCCAGAACATTTATTTGCTTGCTTCCATCATTTAGCAGCAAGTCTACCTCCTGCATACCCAAAAGATGTACAAAAAACAAAGAGATTAAGTAACTACGACGCCCACAAACTCCCCACAGTATAAAACTGCCTTCAGTTAGGGAATGTATAGCCGCAACAGATAGACTGCAGAACAATCTTACCTCATCATATATATTTGCAAGTTTCTGCCAACTCTCCAAGCGTAGGAGATTGTAAATTAAATCATATTTGATGAGATTTGCATTTTGCTGCACAAATTCCTCCCCTTCTTTTGTCAGAACAAAGCCAGCCCATTTATCAGTTGCATTCATTTCTTCAGACTGAGCAAGAAGATAGTACAAATTGCTATAAACTTCCAGGTATGGCTCAGAACTGCAAACAACCAATGACAAAGATCTGTTTGAGTCCATAGTCCAAAGTACTAGTAAATTCATTTGTTCCAAAATGCTGATCCCATAACTAACATATTTACCTTCCTTTTGATGATGCTTTCTGTTGTTTGAGGCTTCCGGGATCTGATAATAATATCTTTGTCATGGATTCCAAAAAGCCACTGGATCCTGCTTCCTCAGAGAGTTTGTCTTCACACATTTCAGGACCATCTAAGAACTTGTCTATTGCATTTCCAGCTAAAACATCATCTGGTGGTTGTGGAAAGTGCTTTCGTATAGCTCTAAGGACTCTTCGGAGTTTAATGAGCCCCGTTTTCTGAAAGAAAAGCAAAATTGAGAGCTTTAAAATCATATATTATGCCTAGAGAGGAAAATATAACAATATATAACTGAAATAACACTTCTCACGGAATAAGGAATTGGAGGAAGAGGTTTGATAAGTAGGATTTGACAAAAAGAAGACATGTAGCACTTACAGAAGAAGCTTTTGCATAGGGAAGTATATACTGAAAAACGTCAGCACACTGTTCCTTAGTTTGGTAATCACCCCGGCTTGTGTTCTTATGCGCAGCTAAATCATCTTCATAAGATGCATCAGACCTTAGATTCAATCCATACAGACAGTAAAAGCACTGATCCAAAGCATTATCAATGGCAACTTCAAGCTCCTCCTTTTCATCTTCACTTAGCTCGGTTCCATCTTCGACCAATTGATCCTTTGATTTCTCCGATCTAGGGTACAAACCATCAGAGACAACACCAATATTCTTACTTTTCTCCACTTTAGTTTTCTCAACCTCCAGAGCTTTACTGGCAGAAATGGCTTCTGCATTAATCCTCTCAACAGCATCTTTATCTGAAGCAGTCGCTTCATCTCTATCTACCTGACCTGTCACATTTAGGTTGTCCAAATTTGATACATTTGATAACACTTTGATGTTGCTTCCATGAGAAAGTTGCTCAGATTTCCCTACATTATTATCATGAGAAGACTGTTCGTCACACTGAGACATTTCAAATTCCTTGCAGACAGAGTGAAAGTTAGATTTCAGTTTCATATCCAAGTTCAAGAGGTGCTTTATTGCAAGTTTTAGAAATGTTCCTTCTTCCTCTTCATCAGTTGCATTTGCACAGCAGACACCAAACTCAGCAAGCATGTCATGGATTGCCACAATCAACTCTGTCTGGCATGATAAGGTTAAAGAGATCAGCTTGTTTCTAATGAAAGATTAAGATAGAGTTAGCAAACACTGATGTTACAGCTGAAAGTCAACGGTCTAAACCCTCTAAAGAAAGAAAGATGTCTCACTTGAGCTTTTATAGGAACATTTAGGATCAAGTGTTGGAGTTTACAGAATGCAATAGCTGCATCTACAAAGTACGAGCTTTCTCTCTGTTCCCTATGATCTGAAATTCCTGGGCCAGAAAATTTCTTACAAGAATATGTGTTGGCAATGTTACACATAAACATCAGCAGCGACGACTGAATATCACTAATGACAGTCATTGGAACACCACTCTGCAAGGGAAAGATGTATCAAATTCTGCAACCTTAGCACAAAACTTATATATCAAAAGAATACACAGCAAAAACTAAATAGATGTCTGATGATCATTGCTCATTAACAAAATAAAAGTTGATCATTTCTTGGAAAACCAAAATGTGAAGCATCAGTTACATTTCATCTAATATTTGTCAACAAGAACATGGACCTTAATTGTCTATATGACCGAAGTTCAGGACGAGAAACTGCAAAAAGTCAGGTCAGATGAGAAGCATCCATCTCAACAGGAACGCGGTTTTAAATGGAGAGAGCAAGGAAATCACCAAAAACTTAAAAAAAGGGACAAAAGGTGGCAAGACCTTAGAACTAGAGTTGGAAGAAATTGCAAAACAGAACAAGTCATCCTTATTTAAACTTCTCACTTTCTTTTCCTAGTTGGACAAAGGATTTTGACCAAATGAAATCCATGACAGGCTATCATAGTGGCATACTCCACCTTCCCAATCTTACAATAAGCATCATAACCATACAACTACGGCTCACTATCTAGTATGGAAAGTCAAACTATGAAAAAGAGGATAAAGTTGAACAAACAAGCAATATATGAGCGAAGTTGGTCAAAAAGAATGCTTTGAGCTTTTGTAGTAATATTTGGGATCAAATGTTGAAGTTAACAGAATGCATTATCTGCATCTTCAAACTATCAATTTCTCTTTGTTTACTTTGTTCTGAAGTTCCAGGTCCAGATAGCTCTTAGAAATCTAGGTGTTAGCATTATTAAACATAAGCATCACTGGAAAACGTCATCACTACAATAATAATTATAAGCAAAATGCGTAATGCTCCAATCTTCTAGTAGAATTACTTGACAACTAAATAGCCAACAAGTAGTGGATAAAGTTGCAAAGATCAATGTTATACTAAACACTATCAGCATAATTCACAAACCTGAAAGACCATAAAAGCATTAAACAAACTGAACCTTGCATATTTCGAGATTGAATTCTAGAAATCCCTAAACCTTCACCAAAGTATTGTTCTCTAGGCAGTTACACCAGTTCAAGCTTTAAAAGTAAGCTAAAGGCAGCAAGTAAATGTTCAACTACATGTGGAGTGGTGCAGAAAGCGATACAAAATCAGTATTACAATGTTTTTCTAGTGCCCCCAATATGTGAGGTCAACACCCCTAGCTCATTGACAGTGAGGAACTTGTCGCAAGCTAGACTTTTGAATTCTCTATCTTCTCTCTCTCTCTCTCT